ATGAACGAGCTGGAGAAGGAGCTGCCATTGCCATGAAGGACTGAGCTTCAAGCTTTGCTAAGTTGGAGAAGAAGATTGCACAAAGGAGGTATTGCTCATATTCCTAAATAGACCTAGGTGCTTCTTGAGCTTGGTTGTGTTTCCTTTGTAAGAATCTTTTTCTACTTAGTGGAATGCCTGGTCGGTTGATGACTCCCAGTTTTTCCCAATGGTGGGTTTCTGGGTGAACAAAATTTGTTTTGCATATCTGTAATTTTTCTGGGTTTGTGTTCTTGGTGGTTGACTAGTCATCTGTATCTGCTGTTTGATGATTACATGATAATGATGATTTCACACACTTTCACCATAGTTGTTGCTAGCACAGGGGATGCCTAGATTGACGGGTCCTTCTGAGTGCCTAGGTTGTCACTAGTAATCTTCTAGGATTGCAGGTACATTGTGGCATGCTCTGTGCATTCTATTGGTTGCGATTGTTTCTTGACTAGTAGTTGACTAGTCATATGTGTATTTGGTTTAGGTTTAAAGTGTGTGAAGCTTGCTGTGTTGTTGTGTCTTGTTTGTGTGATTAAGTTTACCCCTCGTCACCTAAGTACCATTTTCACATACCACCCAGATGGTTGCCAAGGTATTTGAGTTTGACAATATCCTAGTCTCACAACACGAGAAAAATTAGTATACTGCAATAAACATATGTTTGTGCGTGTGCTAGTTAACTATTGTTGCTCAAAATTGGGGATTCTTCTTAATTGATACGTGATATATATCTATATATGTGTTTTTCCTATTTCTTTCAGATACTGATGAGTGCGCTTTGAATTCGACCCTTTGTAACAATGGAAAGTGCAAAAATCTACCTGGAAATTACTCTTGCTCATGTAATAGTGGCTACAAAAACCAGGACGCAATTACATGCATCAAATCTGCAATTTCATTGAAAATTACGTTGGGTATGTATAACCAGCTAGCTATTTTAGATATAAGCATGCATCCTATATATTTTATAGCAAATTAATTCAACACGTTGGCCATACAAAACATACAACACACAAACAGTATATGCTATGCATGGTAAATTATTGAGATATTTAGTGATATACCCATTCTTACCCCTAATATTATAGATAAACCCTCCATCATTGAATTTCTATAAACAAACCCAAAAAAAACCCCCAAAAATGACAGCTGGCCTTATTGAATTTAATATTGATTATTAAATTACTTTAATGCCCTATTGAGTGTTTTGGGTATTTTTATGAGATTTTGGGGTTGGGCTTGTTTTAAGAAATTTATTGTAGTTTTGTAATTTATAAGAAGTTAAAGCCTCTTTGTTATGTTGTAAATGAGTTTTGAGTGTGTTTATAAAGTTCATTTCATATGGGGTATTTTTATAATTTGGGCCCCCATATTGGGTATATTAGTGAATCTCCCTAAATTATTCATGATTCTGAAACAAAATAGCAGGGAAACAAATTTTATTACGAGGAAAAAAAAAAGAGGTACCTATGGAGAGTTTATTACAAAATAGTTGGCATTACTTTCAAAGTTAACAAATAGTTGGCTGATATATTATTAATCTAGTTTATTAAATATGAGTTGATGAATGAAGAGTTATTAGAAGATTTGTTAATACCCTATATATTTCTGTTTTTAATTAGAAATATAGTTTTGACACCTGACCCAGGATACTATAAAAATAGCATAAATAATTAAAGGTAGTCACTTTTGATCCGTGTAGTTTGACACTTCAAACATTTTTGACCATATAGTTTCAATTTGGTCAATTTTGCCATTGTAGTTTCGTAACTGTAACAATTTAAGAACAATCCTCAAATTTGGCCATTTTACCATTTTTTACCCTGAATGGATGACAGAAATTAGAATAATTTGATGGAAATTAGAATTTTCCTCAAATTGCTACAATTATAAAACTACAATGGAAAAATTGATGGAATTTAAACTACATGGTCAACAGTGGTTGAAGTGCAAAATTACGGGAACCAAAAGTGACTTTTGGTAATAATTAAATTACGAATATCAGCTTTGACTATGATTTTTAATTTCTGCAGGTATTCCTTTGAGCATCTTGGTTTTAGTGGTTGCGAGTTTTTGTATGTATCAGGAAATGAAGAACAGAAAGTTCAACAAACTCAAACAAAAATACTTTGAAGATAATGGTGGCTTATTTTTAAAGCAAGAACTGGCCAGTTATGCTGGATCTGTTCGGACAGCAGCCAGAATTTTTACTGAAGAAGAACTTAAAAAGGCCACAAACAATTATCATGTAAGCGGAAAAATTGGTGAAGGAGGCTATGGAACTGTTTACAAAGGAATACTGTCAAATGAACAAGTGGTTGCCATAAAGAAGTCCAAAGCTAGTGCCCCAATTACCGAGAGTAAGCAATTTGTTAACGAGGTGATTGTTCTTTCTCAAATCCACCATAAAAATGTTGTGAGACTGCTAGGTTGTTGTTTGGAGACCCAAACACCAATATTGGTTTACGAGTTCATCGCCCATGGCACTCTTTATGAGCACATTCATAGGAAAAACAACAAAGGAACATCACCCTTTTCATTGCCATTACGATTGAAGATAGCATCAGATACAGCAGAGGCACTAGCTTACTTGCACTACTCCACTTCTACCCCGATCATACACCGAGATGTGAAAGCAACAAATATACTATTAGACGAAAACTACACGGCAAAAGTATCCGATTTTGGAGCTTCACGATTGGTTCCTGATCAAGATGAAGACAAACTATCAACTTTTGTGCAAGGGGCAGTCGGATACTTAGACCCTGAATATCTTCAGTCAAACATACTAACAGAAAAGAGTGACGTCTATAGTTTCGGAGTTGTCCTAGTGGAGCTACTCACAAGCCAAAGGGCTCTTCGTTTTGAAAAGCCTGAGGAAGAGAGAAACCTAGCAAAAGTCTTTGTTTCCTTGTTGGACTCGGATCGCTTGGGTCAAATTCTTGATGATGAAATAGTGGAGGGACACTTTGAGAGAGTCACAAAAGTGGCCGATCTGGCAAAAAGATGCTTAAGGCTAAGAGGGGAAGAAAGGCCGTCCATGAAAGAAGTAGCTGCAGAGCTCGATGGATTAGTGCCAACTATGGAACTGTATCCAAGTGGAGGAAAGCCTAGTTTCCCTCGAACTCAGAAAGATACCGACTACTTGCTTGGGTCACCTGTTTCAAGCTCTTCCTTTGTGGATATCAGAGGTGAGGGTGATGCTGGTAGTTATAGTAGTATTTTAATCAGTGCAGATTATGAGAGGAGCATGCAAAATCAAATCCAGATGGTAACGCCTTATGGAGATGGGCGATAATCAGTTGAATTCTTGTTCCTGGTAATGTTCCTCATAAAATAGAACTTCTTGTTCTTGAGCTTGCTGAAATAAGAGAACAAAAAGAAGAAAATAAAATTCATCAATCTTGAACTTTGTTTGTTCCTGGTGTATTGTTGTTCCTCGTTTGTTTCCCACTAATTTTATCATCAATCTTGAATTTACAATTTGATATATCAAGTGCAAGCTTATCATATTAAGCTTTATGATCTCTCCACCAAAAACAAGAAAATAAAATTCATTCTTCTTTACATTTTTCATAAATCCTAGATGGCATTTTCGCACTAAATTTTAAATTTGAAACAGAGCAATGTTGTTGGCTGGCATTACCCATATGCTTCTTGAATTTGTTCTTCTTTGCGAGTGTTCTAAAAATTGTAGCGTATTGGTTTTCTAGAGTAAGTGGGTAAGATGAAAATGGAGACAGGGTATCACTGCCACAAAGACTGGAACATTATTGGATCAGACAAATTTGTAGAGGAAGACCATAATTACCCCTAATCCATGACTTAGAGCCACCCCATACCAGTCTTTACTGCGCAAGAACTTACAAGTGCCACAAACAATAGATTGACTTGCTGCTAATGATGTATGTTTAGGAAATCTAAACCAATATTAGTTTGTTTCAGTTCGAGCCAGTGCCTCAGGAAATAAATCTATGTTAATATCTTGTACCGTGGGTTGTAAAGTTATATGGTCCGTCCTTGTATCCATTGTAGATTTTCGTGCATAATACTACATTTGTCATGTTCCAAGTTTTTTGTGCTTTTAAGTGCGAGTAATTATAGTGTACCTAGTATGAGAGTATGTCCAAGTTTTGTGTGCTTTAAGTGCGAGTAATTATAAGTGAATATTTATTGATATTATATCTTAAAAGTGGGAAATATTAACCATATCGCCCATCCATATTATAACACGTGGACGAATTACAGCAACCTTGCTATGCAGTAAAGCGTACATACATGTGGGTTTTTGGCAAGTCATTAGACACAAACAAGTTTAAACACTTAAATCAATCTCAACCACATGATTTCATGGAAATTGATCCAACGACTAAGCACTTCATTCCTCAAATGATGACACTGAATCTCTCAAACGTCCCCATCATCGACTTGACGCTAGCTCTTCAATCACTCATGTAGATTTTATTTATTTTTTTCAAGCGGCCATAGAGATAAGACTTCCATATATAGGGCTCACCTCAATTAAAAATGTGGTTAGTAAAGTGGTACACGATTGTTTTTATATATGCTCAGATATTTAATTTTGCAAAAATAATGCATCCAACTAAAAAAGTTGCACCCAATTAATGATGTTCTTGGAATATTGATACAAAATAAATTAGGTGTTAAAAAGATATTTAATTTTGCAAAAATAATGCTTCCAACTAACTCAACCAAAAAAGTTGCATCCAATTAATGATGTTCTTGAATTATTTATACAAAATAATTTAGGTGTTAAAAAATATTTAATATCTGAATGTGATCTATTACGACAAAGACTTATCGTCACAATCATTGTGATTATTTAAAAGGTGTAACATATCCCTGATCCAATTTAATCGATTTAATCAAATTTAATTCTATTGTGAAATTTCAATTTTGCCCTTAGGAGTAGGGGTACTTTGGTCACTTAAAAAAAAACATTTATTGTATGAAATTTTGTAATGGTGTAAGTTTGTATTAGCTTATGTGAGGACCTAGTTTAAAGTTCACATAGGGCCCTAAGTTGTAACAACATATACAAAGTAGGCGATACTAAAATGGGCTGTTAAAGCTCTCTTGGTTCTTAGATTATGTGATGTCCGGCTATGCTCAATTAAATTAGTTAATCTGATTTAACGATTAAGATATAATACCTACTTAAGTACCATAGACAAGGCCCTCACCATAGAATCACTGATTCACTCTTGTTGGGAAACACACATACATGCCATCAAAGCCACGCCACGTATATGGCTCAAATGTTTTGTTTTTAATTATCTTTTTCTTTGTCATTGTTTTGACTTCAGAGTCGTTGGTAGGGTTTGATTTGAAGAAGGGTTAGAGAAATGACTTTTTTTGTTTGTCGAAAAGTCACCATTCCAACTGTTGCTGTTGCTGGATTTGATTATTGCGTGGACTTGGTCATTTATTTGTTTAATGACTTGGTCATTACACGGTACCAGCAATCAAGAAAGAAAAAGACCCATGAAGGAAAAATATTATTTATTTATTAATTCCCTCCCTAAAACATTAAACCAATTCTTAGTACAAGGAAAAATCAAGTGGTGCAAACCATGGCCTTACTTGGGAGCATGCTTATTATTGTGCAACTCTCTATGGTTGTGCTATTAGGGGCGGCAATATTTACACCAATAGCATCAGCAGCTCAAGCCCTGCTGCCTCAAGCCAAGCCTGGGTGCCCAGAGAAATGCGGTAATCTCACAATCCCCTACCCATTTGGCATAGGTGACGGCTGTTACCTCCGACCCGAATTCAACATCACATGCAACCAAGCCAGCACACACCCAACATACTTGACCAGAAACAACTTGAGCATTACTAACTTCTACTTTGATGAGGCTGAGCTGCAAATAGCACATGATGCAGCCGATAACTGTCATGACGCCCTTGGTAATCCCAGCAACAGCACCAGCAACAACGTATATTACCTGATGCTGCCTCCTCTTTACACCATCTCCGAAACCAAGAACAAATTGTTTGTCATTGGCTGTGAAGCTTTTGCACTTTTGGATTTGCAGATCGCAGACCCTACCTCAGATAAAACAAAATCCACCCAGGGCTACAGTGTGGCGGCATGCGACAATATTTTAACAAGCGACAACGAAGTTCCCGACACTTGCTCCGGCATTGCTTGCACCGAATCTGGCCTCGTTGGTGGATTGGTAGTCTTTGAGATGACCCTGATTTACTATAGCTTTGGGGAGCAGAACAGGAATGTAACGAAATGGTTCTACGAGGAGTACCCGTGCAACTACGCCTTCCTTGTGGAAGACTCCAAGTTTACTTATGCTCCCAATACAAGTTTTCAACAGCTCAGCAACAACAAGCAGCTTCCGGTGGTCATAAACTGGAAAGTTGGGGATGAGCCGTGTGATGTAGTTGAAAAGAGCAATAATTCTTTATGCAAGGGAAATAGCAAGTGTGTGGACTGGTCCATTGTCCATGGTAAGCCTGGTTATATTTGCAATTGCTCGGAGGGCTACCAAGGGAATCCATACCTCACAGATGGTTGCCAAGGTACTGATGATGCTTTCTTCTCTTCTTTTTTTTAAAAAAAAAAAATCAAATATTTCATACATCAACATCGCCACAACATATGAAACATCATATTGTGAATCTTGACTATTGATCATTAACTTGATTCTTACCTAATTTTATTGCTTGACATGGGATTATTTTTCTTTCCGTTCAGATATTGATGAGTGCGAGACTTCAAACCCCTGCGACAATGGAACTTGCCATAATCTAGATGGAAGTTACTATTGTAAATGTAATAGTGGGTACAGAAACCACGACCCCAAGACTTGCATACCCGGAACAAAGAACACTGCCCTCAAAATTTCATTGGGTATGCTAGTTAATTTCATATTGCCAGCTGCTATTTACATAGAATATGTATTGTAATTAACAGGCATACATGCATGTTATACACTTGTTCATAAATAGGTCAACACGTTTGTCTAAGAAAATAACAATAAGCTGCTTTTATTTGACCAGTAATAATATAATTTTAAAAAAAATTGAATAATCAATTTCATTGTGATCATAGTCCCACCATGTCATCTATAAAAAGCAAGTTTGACTTGGATTTTGCAGGTGTCTGTCTGAGCTTCTTAGTTTTACTGGTTTTAGTCTTTTGGATATATTGCGGAGTCAAGAGAAGAAAGTTCAAGAAACAACAAGAAAAGTTCTTTAAACAAAATGGGGGCTTACTTTTACGAGAACAACTGACTCGATACAATGGATCCATAGAGACAGCCTCAATCTTTTCTGAAGAAGAACTGAAGAAGATGACAGACCATTACGATGAAAAGAGAAAGATTGGTGAAGGAGGGTATGGACTAGTTTACAAAGGTATATTGCCTGCAGATAAAAGAGAGGTTGCCATAAAAATGTCCAAAGTCAGTGCCCCAATTACTGACAGCTTGGAGTTTGCTAACGAGGTGATTCTTCTATCTCAAATCAACCATAAAAATGTTGTGAAGCTCCTTGGTTGTTGTTTAGAGACCCAAACACCTATTCTCGTTTACGAGTTCATCTCCAATGGCACTCTTTATGATCACCTTCATGGAAAAGACGGAAAAGAAAAACTTTCGTTGGAATCGCGGTTGAAGATAGCATCAGGTACTGCAGAAGCTCTCTCGTACTTGCATCACTCCATTTCAAATCCAATAATACACCGAGATGTGAAAGCAATGAATATACTACTGGACAAGAATTATGTGGCTAAAGTAGCAGACTTTGGGGCTTCACGGTTGGTTCTGGAAGATCAAAATCAACTAGCAACTTTGGTGCAAGGGACGCTTGGTTACTTGGACCCTGAATATCTTCAGTCACACATTCTAACAGATAAGAGTGATGTTTATAGCTTTGGAGTTGTCCTAGCGGAGCTACTCACAGGCAAAAAGGCACTAATCAAGAAAAAAAATGAGGCAGAAAACCTGGCAAACGTCTTTGTTAGCGCAATGAAAGAGGGCCGGCTAGCTGAAATTCTTGATGCTGACTTAGTTAAGGAGGAACATAATTTCGAGACAATCGTAGAAAAAGTTGCCAATCTGGCAAACAAATGTTTAGCGTTAAGAGGTGAAGAAAGGCCTCCCATGAATGAAGTAGCCGTGGAGCTCCTGGGATTAGTGCAAATTATGGGAAAGAATACGGCTGGGGAAAAGGTTGATGATATCCAACGGTCTTCCAAAGATTCCGACCACTTGCTCGGGTCACCTGCTGCTAATTATTATAATTACGTTTTGGATGTTA